GGTCGGGGACGGGCTCTTGGCCGCCGCCCGGCGGGGCTTCCCCTGCCCGGCTCCTTCCCCAGGAAGGATGCCCCGGTGGCGGGCAGCCCCCATGTCCCCCCGTCCTGGCTGCGCCCTCCAGAGCCCAGCGCTGCGGGCCGAGGTCCAGCCGTTCCCGGGGTGTGCGCCCGGCCGGTCCTGTACCACCTTCGAGGTGAATTTTGGGGAAAAAAACCCCAAGATTTGTTCTGTCTGCACATAAAATATCTGATAGTGACCGATCTTTCAGGAGCGGTTTTGGTTTAGTTCCTAACCTGTCCCCGAAACAAGCTCGTCAGTTGGAAAAATGCTCGAGGAGACGTGATTAATGTAAAATGATAACCGCAGTATTGCCTGTATAATTTACAGGTGCCAAGCTGAACTTCTTAAAGCTGCCTTCCTTGCTGAAATGATTAGAAGCACTGTATTTTTCACAGGATTAAATGGCTGGCTCTCACGTTGCTGTGAGCCACAATCACCTCTTCAATAATCTTTCGGACAGGGAAAGCCCATGCAAACAAAAAGAGCACTGTTTGCGTATGCATGAGATGGATTAAATAAGTAGTTAGAGAATATAATGTGTGTTGGATATTGTCTGTAGTTATTGCAGTTTGTCTCCTGTATACTCAATCAGTACTCAATATCCTACAACTTCTGTTAAGTGTTTTCTGAATATTATTCACCGATGGCTTTTTCGTGGTGTAGGCAGATGGTTAAGTGTAAATTTTAAATTATTTTGCCTGTGGCAACTTTCAGTTGTGTAATACTGGAAGGTGTTTATTTTAATCTGAGCGTTCTTTCTCCTACTTTATCAGCTCTCATTCTTTTTTCCTACACAGGCCTTATCACAGAAGTATTTATTTATAATTCTTTCTTTGCAGGCTAATACCCTACCCAGAAAGTGAGACTGAATAACATGCGCATGCTGATTGCTGGGGCAGAGGCTGAAGGACATCCTGTTTTGGTTTAGCGGTGTTGCTGTTATTCTTTGGGGTGAAATGAAGAATTTTTTCTATTTTGGAAATACTCAGATTTCAAATGCAACTGCTCTTCAGTAGCCTTTTTTTGCTGGACAGATTTCGACAAATGACTTTTTCCTAAACAAAGATTTAGAGCCTGTCACTAGTAGAAAATCTCACTAGTACAGAAACATCTCGCCAAATGTCTCTGAAGGACCTAGCAGTTGGAGTAGGTGGTGTGTCTCTCGCTGAAGGTGACTGTAACTGGAATGAAACGACAAATGATGAAGAAATTACTAAGCCTGAAGTCATGCAGCAAAGCCTCCCTGTAGTGACTAGCAGAGGGAGAAGTTGTGAGGGGTTTTCTGAGAGCAGTTGCAGTATCTCAGAACTCAGCAGTTCCTGGGGTGATTTCGAAGGCTTCAGGGAGTCCTTGGACAAATCGGAGAGAGTCAGTCATAATCTTGAAGTTTTGGTGAAGTCAACAGAAACTTCCAGAGCTGATAGGGATTTAAGCAGTGGACACCGCAGTGCTTCTGCTGGTCACTTCTGCTCTCCGAGTGAGGTATGTGTTAATAGGAAAACAATGACCAGACATGTCTGTGTTACTGCTTCCTGCATCTCGAGATCTGTATCTGAATGTCTTCTCTGTCGAGGATAACGCTGTACTGGGAGAGAAACTTGTCAAGCTACTTTGCAGCTAACTCAAGTGGAACAAAAGCAGCTTCTTTACAGTGTTTGACAAATACTTAAGTTATCCTGCTGGAGAGCTCTGAAGAATGTAATGCACTACTTTGCTTTAGACACTGGGAATAAATAAGCAGGTAGAAACCATGAACCTTGCCCCGAAGCACACAGGATTTAAAAGCTAGACAAGAATGAGCGTAGGAAACAAAAAATCCTGATGTGAGGCAACAAAACCAGGATGGACAGAAATTCTGTGAGCTGCCTGCAAGCTTACTGACGTAAACCAACAGAAAATGGAGTTAGAAACTGGGAAAAACAAGAACTTCCATTATTTAATACACTGCCTGAATAATCCAGCCATCTTTCTAGGATTTTAGACTGATTGTGGGTGGAAGGTAATGACTCCAAAAAATGAATGGAAATAATTTGGTATAATTCATTGTCTAGCGTAGGACGTTACGTCCTCTCTTAATATGTTAGAACTGATAATCTGCATAAATACTAAGCTATATAATGTTTCCTTATCAGCACAAAAAGCATTCTGTTTAAGGATTATACCTTGCTGCAATTAATGTGTTTCAGTGTTTACCAAACAGGCATCGCCAAAGCGAAGCAAACTAACAAGAGGAAGATAAGTACGTACAGATACATAACAAAGCACCCTCGTTCTTACTACTTTTATGCTAGATTAAAACGTGTGAAAAGAAAGAGAGGAATCTGCTAAGGCTTCCACAGAGTTAATCAGTAGCAATAATAGCTACTCATTGTAGACTTAGATGAGTTTTAGTGTGCGTAGGGAACTGAGGGTTTTCTGGTTCCCTTGCCTGGGAACTTTACCTATTGAATAGTTATGACCAGGGAAAGCACAGAATCGAGGGAGTGGAGATCACAGGATACGTGGTTATTGGTATGCACAGAGAATTTAAATTGTTTGTAATGCTGGAAACTGGGGACAAGGAGACTTGTGTTGAAAAACAGAGAATATGTGATGGCTGGAGCTGAAATACAACAGAGCAGATTGGTTTCTTTCCAAACGCAGTGGCTCTTAATTTTACTGAAGCCTTTGCTTTATTTTTGCATTTATTAAAGGCAAACATGTCCGGTACGAGCTAAGTAAGTTAAGCCTGCCTAGAATTTGAAGTTGCCTGTTCTTGTCTCAGGGTGGAGAAACACTTGTTTGAGATGTCTTTGGGTGTAGGGTATAGGTGTAGCTTGTCCTTCATCCCTGTGCTTTCTGTGCTGTTTGTTGGAGACCGTAACTTCTTCACGTTGGGGCTCTGACTTCTGTATGGTCAACAGGAAAAAGTCCAGGTAGGTTGGAAGGGACCTTCAGAGATCATCTGAGGTCAGAGGCCTGACCTGCAATCCCTAATGCTTCAGTTAATTCTATTTTGTCATTTTTGAGCAGAATCATTTATTTGAGATGAAAACAATTTCCTTGAAATAGCTGGATACTTTGTGTACGCGACTGAATGAGTTTAATAACTTTTTAAAAATGTGTTCTTTAAATACTGGCCGTTGTAAGAGGGACTGCGACTACTGCACTTGTTTAAGCCCTGGAGTGTTCTGATATAATAGGATATAGAGGATTTGTATGAAAAGCTTGTCTGTGAAATTTGTGCATTCGTCTTTTTATAATCAGTACAAAGCTACTACGTAAACAGAAATATACCCCAATGTTGTTGGAGCAGCACCCACTGAAGTAGGCAGTAGTAAAGATAACACACACACAAATCTTGCAGCCCCTCTGCAGGTTTTGAAGTCAATTGCTTTGATTTAGAAAATCACAGGAATTCCTTCTTTGAAGGAATAAAAGGACAAAGCTCTGGACCAGATAGCATGATAACATCCCTTTAGGATAGGATTTTCTTATGTATGTCTGTCTTAGTCTTCAGATAACCCTTTTTGGGTTCACTCCTGTCGCTATGTGCTCAGTTCTCCAAACCTCCTCCTCATCACTGCCCGAGGAGGAACAGTTTGCAAATCTGGCTCTGAGTTTTAGCACAGGCTGGAAAAGGTTTGTTGCAAATGCAAGGATATAGAGACACACTGGTCCCAGCTTTTATGTGGACTTACACAGTGCGAGTACTGATTGGTAACTATAGCATTTGGCTGAATTGGGTAGGAAGTAGAGACCAAGGTTCATCAGAAACTCTTGGACTCTTGCTTCTGCTCCTCTAATTCTAGGTGAATACTCAAAACACTGGATTATGGGGACAGTCCCTCTGTGCCATTAATATTCATACAAATTTATCAAACCAGTCAATAATACAACCTCTGGAAACGTTGCGGTCTTTGCACTAGGTCTTCATGAACTGTGTCTAATGTGTGTAATAAAACTGTGTTTTTTTCTAGGCAAACCACAGCTATGAGGATATCTTTAAGTTGGGCTTCCCAGAAATCTTTGTATCACAGTCCGAAGAGAGCATAAGAAGCTTAGACCAAGTACTACTTGATACAAGTAATGACGATGCTGGGTTTCCTGAACTTAGGAAGAATCAACTTTGGTAATGAGTTTAGATCAATAGTTGTTTTTTTTTTAAAAAAAGTTCCTCAGTGATTACACTGGGTTATTTTGTAATTTATAAATCAGTGGTACTTGCAGAAGAACTTACAAATCTTTTTTATCACTACGCTCTGTCAGCGTATAGATCTTAGCAGTTTTGTACTGCGTTGTTAAAGGAAGTGGATTGTTTTAACCATTGGAAAACAAGGAAGGGAATATGTAGAAGTTATTAATTCCTGCTTGGAAGTTTTCCTGCTCTTGGTGTGCCTTCTTATGACTAAGCCTCTGGAATGCCTGAGCACCCAGCAGCAGCCTGCTCTTCCTGTTTGCTTGTCCTTTCCTTACAACACATCTGACTTGTTTTGCCGTCGTCTGGAGCACAAGCGTTGCTACTGCTTCTGCTGACAACCCACTCTCTTTATTTCCCACTTTTCTCAGGCGGTGACTTCTTCCAATGTTTAACCAGATGTGCTCCAGAATCTGTGGCGCATCTGGCTTCTTTCCTGGGCTTATGTTAATAGCAATTAGTGTCATTAACTTTGGTCTCGTTAAGACAGCTGAAACGCTTTTAGATGTTACATGTTTGTGAGGGAAACTTCAGCAGTTTCTGAACAGTATTGTAGTTATTGGACATCATTGTAGTTATTTTTGCATACATCTGAGGCTTTGTATTTGGAAACCTGGGTCAGGCCATACTTCAGAAGTGTCCTAAGAATCACAAGAAATGTAATGAAAACCCTTAATCTGGGCATCCTTTCAGCAAGTTCCTTGCATGTACATTATATTTTAATCAGCCTCTAGCTTGTGGAGAAATACAATATATATGTAAAAGGGACTGCAGTATTATAGCAGGGTACCAACTGAAGCACAAAAGCCCTGATCTGCTGTGGTGAATAACTAAGATCAATGATAACTGTGCCCTGCAATAAGCAGAAAGCCAGTGGATGGATGTAGGAAGAACGCACTGTAAGAACACAGAGTACTGCGTAGAGGGAGTTCTTTAATTCTCACTGTTTCAGTCGTGTGTGCCTTTGGCTTCTTTTGTGTCCATGTGTGTCCAGAGCAGATGCAGGTCACCCACCTGAGCAGCAGCAGAAGTGTGACTTGACAGGGAGGAGAAAGGTTTGAGAGACACAAAAAGCCAAGTGCAGAATGAATAGGGCTGAACTCTACCCACCTTTCGCAGGAGCAATTGGATCATCCGAGCTGTTGGCATGTAGCAATCTCTGAAATGTGCTCCTAATGCACTTCTTATCTGAGGAGCCCAATCGTCCAGTTACCGTTTCCGTTAATTGTCCTGCAGGCTCATTAGTACATTGGGTTGATAGCTTGAACGAACACAGAAAGAGTTTTGAGGTAAGTTGCTTTTTAGATCAAGGTGGGCTAGCAGACAACTGTACGTAGTGAAAACAACTAAGATATATATTTGCACACCCACCTTGTAACCTCAGATTGTGTTTTCCTTTCTAGCATTGATTCTGGAAACATATGGAGAACACTTGGAGACTTTGATAATACCCCCAGCATAAGACATCCCAGGAGTAAATCTCATTGTCAAGAAAACCTCTTGAGCGTTCTTGGAATAGATGTGGATCAAAAGGTAATTGAACAACTGCTTGTGAGTATGCCAGTACAAACACTTGGGTATGACTCTGATTTTCTGTAAGCTACACATGTAAATACATGAGAAACCAGATCTGGGTGAGTCATACACTTTTTTTACAGAGAGCCTTTTAAAATCATAGTCTAATGTTTTCTCACTGTTATGTGTGAGTGACTATGAAATGGTGCAGGATCCGATTCGGATTGTCTTTACACTGAAGTCTCCGTTATGTAGCACCCTCTTTCATTAAGTGGTACGTTCAGCTTTAGTACTGATGTAGAATCAGCTTTCAGATGTGTGCGTGGTAAGATAGTTTTCTTTTTTGAGTATGAGAAAACTGTTAGCCTCTGATATCTTTCCATTAAGTGTAAATCAGATGTGAACCTAAGAGGCTGTTAAAGTAATTACTGGGTGTTTTTACTGTATACAAACAGAAAGTGTGCTGCACTTCCCTTTTCCTCAGATTATTCTACCTCTTTTTGTAAGGCTTGAGGGAGAGGAGGATGTTTTACTTTGATCTGAGAACAAACCAGCAGTATTGAAAGATCTCAAGCAGAAATGTCTCTGTTTAATGTCTTGTTTTGAGAAGATAAAGCTGTCAGGGATGGTTTAGTCTTCAACCAGGTTATTTAGTTGGGACGGATTAGTCACAAGTGGTTTTCAGAAGTAATGGTTCAATTGCTAATTTGATTGCTGAAGGATGGCAGGGGTTACTGCATTCACTTTTCCTCCTGTGAACATATTTCATAGAGAATCACTTTGGTTGGAAAAGACCTTTAATGTCATCGAGTCCAACTGCTAACCTAGCACTGCTGTTTCTCCAGAGTGGTTGTACTTGCCTTCTGTTCTTTCTCGCCCATAGATACACCAGCATTAGGTCAATGCCCAGGCAGCTTAAACTTAGGTCATCACTTTTTTTCTGTTACTGGAAAACTGTATTTAACAATACTCACAGAGAGAGATTTCTCAGCTATTTTCTGATATAGGTTAAGGCTACTTTTAATTGGAAATGACTTTTTTGTTGATTTCTTTTAAGTCACAGTTAGACTCGTGTGTAGAACTTGTTTTGGCATAAAACTGTTTCAATGCAAGGGGGCAAAACAATAAAACACAGCTTCAGAAAGTGAAATTTCCTGGTTATTGTTATTTGAGGGAGACTTCTCTGTAGGTTGTATGTTCTGAGATCAGGTAGAAATTAATAAAGAAAATGCAAATTTTGCTTTATTAGGACTTGTTGGAGAGCCAGGATGACTTTTTTGAGGAGTCAAATGTTAAAGACAATGAGGACTTCAGATCTGATGGATTCAGTATTAACGACTGCAAAGCTCTGATCCAGACCAAGGTAAGAATTGCTCTAAAGGAAGCACTTTGGAAAACCACAGAGTGTATTTCACATGTTCCTCTGTGCCGTAGCCAGCTCTTCTTGTGTATTTCCTGCTTGTTTCATCCTGATACGATTGGATCTGGAGCTGGTTTTTTGCCCTTTGAAGCCTATCTGACAGCTTTAGTATAATGTAAGATACCAGATACAAAGCGACATCATATGGGCAATGCTGAAATTGTAAGGTTATTGATTCCATAAGCTGGACTTATTGGTTGGGAGATCACTGAGAATGGTGACTGTGACTCACTCCTACGATAGACATTAAGAGAGGCTGCAGAAGCAAAGCTGGTAGAGAAGAAATTGCATTCAAGCTTGGGTTTTGGATATTCCGAATGATTCAGATTTGGTTGGTTTGTCTGAGGAGGAAAGAGGAACTACTTAAGGAGGAAGGCAGAGTTGTTGTTATAATTAGAAGGATTTGAGGACATTCGTGTTTTTAAGCCGTATTACAAAACACAGAAAATGAAGCTGAAATACTTGGTTGTTGGTTTATGTCTTAGCTCAAGCAGGCCTTAATGAGCTCCACCTCTTTCTTGCTAAAGAAATGCAAGTAGAAGGAAAGTTCTGTCATTTCCCATTGCTTTAAAAAGATTGGTCATGTTCTGTTTCTAACAAAGTATTTTGGGTGAATATTCTTAACACCAGTTCACTTCCTCAGTGGAGAAGTTCCTTCCTCAGTGAGCGATGGCTGCTGCAGTGGAGATGCAGCCTTTTAGGCAAACCTTCATCACTGTGTTTTATTCTTTTACTGCACTGGACACTGAATCACAGAATCACAGAAT